AGTCCTGCTAACCCAGGAAGAACTTTGGTTGCACACCCTCTCTGGAAGTCATGACTTTCCTGTGATAAGGACATCAGAATTGTACACAGCACTCCACGTGGAGTCTAACCAACTTCCTATACAACAGAAGCAAGATTTCACTACTCCTGTACTGAAATCTGCATGTAATGTCGGCTAACATTCCATTAGCCTTCTTAATAGCTTTCTGCACCATATTAGCATTCAGTGACATTTGACAGCCTGCCAACATGACAATGACCCATTTATTTCTAATTTCTGTTTAGTCTTTAACCAATCATTAATCCGTGTCAGTAAATTCCCTTCTACGTTCTTTATTTTTTTCAAACCAGCCTTCTGTGAGGGATGCTAACAAAAACCTTCTAAAAATCTAAGTATACTATCCCCATTGGCTTTGCTTTATCAAAATTGTTAGAATTATCTTCAAAAACTCCAAAAAGTTTGTTAAGTACAATTTCCCATTTGCAAATCAATAATGACTGTGCCAATCAGATCATTATCATCCAAATGTCGATTTATCCTATCCTTTGTGATAGATTCTAGTATTTTCCTTCCAAGTGATGTGAGGCTAACAGGTCTGTAATTCCCTGTTTTGTCTTTCCCTCTCTTTTACAAATGGTGAGGTGACATTTGCTACCTTTTGATCCACAAGAGTCTTTCCAGAAACTACAGAATCTGGAAAGACCATCATCGATGCATCGACTATTTCGACAGCAACCTCCTTCACTTTGGGACAAAAACCATCCGGTTCTGGAGATCTGTCAACTTTAAGCCTCATAAATTTGACCAGTGCAATCTTCTTATTAACACTCATTTCCTTCAACTCCTCATCCTCCTGAGTCACTTGCATCTCTAATTCCAGGAGATTTTTTGCAACTTCCTCAGTGAAAATAAACATAAAGTAATCAATTAGCTTCTCTGCCATTTCTTCATTCCTGATTATAAATTCTCCTGGCTCTAATGGAGCCACATTCATTTTAACTAAACATTTCATTTTTATGTGCTTGTGAAAGCTTTCACTGTCTGTTTTTATTTTACTAGACTGCATTTAGATTCTATTCCCCATTTCCTTTTCAATTATTTGGTCCGCCTTTGTTGTATTCTATGCTTCTCCCAATTCTCTAAATTACTCCTTCTGAAAACTTGATAGGTCTTTTCTTCCAATCTTCTGCAATCCAGAACTACCTTTGTTAGCCATGGGTTGACTGTTTTGAGTTTATGCACCTTGAAGGAATGCATAGTTGCTATCAGTCATGTATTGGTTTTTTAAAAACTGTGTACAGGCCAAAGGATAATCATTTCTTTTAATGTGTTTTTTCAATCCATATCTCATGCCTGCACAACTTCTTTTCTTCAAAGTTACTGCACTTGTTTCTGAACAAACTACTTCACATTCAAACAAAATGTAAAATCCTATCTTATTATGGCCACTCATCCTTAAAGGTTCTTTTACAAAAAGCTCGTTAATTAGCTCTTTTTCATTGCACAATACTAGATCTAAAATAGCACGTACTCTAGTTAGCTCCTCAATGGACTATGGTACAAAACCATCCATAACACATTCCACAAACACACGTCTGAAACTCATCCTCCACAGTATTGATGTTTAATTGGTTAACCCAGTCTATACGCAGATTGGTCACCCATGACAACTTGCCCATGCTACATGCTTCTCTCATCTTCTCATTAATACCATGCCCCACACTACTATTTGGTGACCTATAAATAACTCCAATCAATGTCTGCTGTCTCTTGCTGTTTCTTCATTCCATCGAAACAGATTCAAATAACTTCTTCCAATTTAAGATCCTCCCTTATTGATGTACTGATCCCATCCTTTATTAGCGCAGCTCCACCTCCTTTTCCTTCTCATCTGTCCTTCCCAAATGTTGAATATTCAGCTCCCAGTAATGGTCATCATCCAGTCTCGTTTCTATAATGGGAATTAGATCATGCCCAAGAATCTCTGTTTATGATTAAGCTGTCTACCTTGTTACGAATACTGCATGTATTCAGCTCAAGTTCCCTTAACTCTGCCTTCTTGACATCATTCCGCTTCCAAAGCGCACATGATGCTTGGTTTTGCTCTTCTATCTTCGAGTCTCTCTAACATTCTCCTGATTTCCAGTTACTGACTTCGCTTCCTTGCAATGTGGGTTACCCCTCAGGTTCCCAACCCCCCTGATAACCTAGTTCAAATCTAGCCCTCGTGTCAGGCTATCTTCTTGCAAGTCCCAGTCTCATGAAGGTGTACCCTGTCCAGTTTGTATAGGTTCCACCTGCCCCAGCACTAATACTTCAGAAATCTGATGCTGTCTGTCCTATAGTACTTCAAACACATATTCAAACGATCAATCCTCCTGTTCTTACACTCACTAGCATGTGGCACTGGGAGTAATCTTGAGAGTACTGCTTTGTAATTTCCTTCCTAGCTCTCTAAAATGGGCCTCAGGACCTTACTCCTGTTCCTACTTATGCCACTGATATCAATGTGGACCACAACTTCTAGCCATTCCCCTCCTTGGTAAGGATGTCTTATAGCCGTTCCATGATATCCATGATATCCTTGACCCTGGCACCAGGGAGACAGTAAATTGTCATTCCTGAAGTCACATTTACTGCCACAGAAATGTCGCTCTGATCCCCTGACTATGGATCTCCTATGATAATCCTCTGATGAGGTTGTACAGGACTTTGATGAGGCCTCTTCTGGAATACTGTGTCCGGTTCTGGTTGCCTAGTTATAGGAAGGATATTAAGCTGCAGAGAGTTCAGAAGAGATTTACCAGGATGTTGCCAGATATGGAAAGCTTGAGTTATAAAGAAAGGCTGTGACTTTTTTCACCGTAGCATAAGAGGTTAAGAGGCAATCAGGTAGAAGTTTATAAAATAATGAGGGGTATAGATAGATTTAATGGTAGTTGTGGATTGTAAAAGATCCCAAAATGTAATTCGACAAATAAGGAAGAGGAGCACCCACTGGAAGAAGGAGTTGGTTTTCCATCAATCTTTTCACACCCAAATGAGCTTTGCAGTCTAAATGGATGCAAGCATTTTGCTGACCACTTATTGTGAACACATTCTGCTTTCTTGTATCGCTATGTTCAACATTAAAAGTGTCACAACTGTGAGAATCACAATAGTGATTATTTTATAACAAGTATTATTCTGTAAGAACTGAGCCTTCAAATCAGTTTCACCGCTGAATGAGGTAAAGGCTAATTTACAATCCAACTCCATCTTTGTTGGATATCCCTTAATACTTTTGTTAACAAAAGTCTATCAGAGACAAATTTTAAATTTACAATTAACCTAGTATCAGCTGTTGTTTTTATTCATTCATGGGATGTGGGTGTTTCTGGCTGGGTCAGCATTTATCACCCATCCCTGATTGTCCAGAGGGCAGTTAAGAGTCAGTCACATTGTTTTGGGTCTGGAGTCACATGTAGGCCAGACCAGGTAAGGATGGCATATTTCCATCCCTGAAGGACCTTTGTGAATCAGATGGGTTTTTCTTGACATTCGACTCTTTGGTTTCATGGTTACCATTAGACTCTTAATTCCAGATTTTTATTGAATGCACATTCCACTAGCTGGCTTGGCATGATTTGTACCCGGGTCCACAGGAGATTACTGGGTTTCTGGATTAATAGTCTAGCTATAATACCACTAGGCCATTGCCTCCCCCAATTGACTTTTGCCAAGAAGATTTCCAAACCCCTCTTTGTTTGCAGAATTATTTCCCAATTTCACTTTTGAAAGACCTGACGTGACGATGCTGTTACTTTAAAAAGGTTATTTTATCCTGGGTTTTTTTGAACAGAAGTTGTAAAGGCAGAAGCATTGAAGTAGCTACTGGAAACTGCTTAAGTCAACAATGTAGGAGACCTTTAGGTTTGTTTTTAAAAGGGTTGTAACAATGGAAGGGTATTGGTCAGTTCTCATTGATCAGACTTTCTAGTTCCTTTTTAGTTGTAGCAGTCAGAAACTGCTTAGGTCCCAGAAGAGTTGGCACTTCAGTAAAGGATTCCTAGCTGCTACTTTCTCTGAAATCTCTCGATGTTGTTTCCTCCTGGATTGGAGAACTGCATGTAAGAATCTGAGTCTGAAATTACCTTTTTGCCAAGGGGTGTATTTATGGGATACTGCTATTTTGGAACAGTTAATTAGTATTAGGCACTGTATCTATTATTCAGTTAAGTTTTCCAATAGTTGAGTTATTCTAAATTCCTCTTTCTTTTATTTGTATTTTAACTACATTGGTTAAATAAATTGTGTTTTGCTTAACGTCGAGTAGTTTGACCAGTCACATCACATCAGAAACATGTACTTCACATCTACCTTTAAAATAAGAAAAAGTGAGGGTCTAGGGTGCCTTCTTAAAATATTTTAAGGGGGTCTGGTCTGGTCCATAGCACTCCTTTTATTATTTATACAATATTCCCCTTCATCCTTGATGCCCCAGTTAGAGACTGACAATGGGACCTGCCAACGACAGTCATATCCTGTATCAAATTACATAGAAAAACCGCAGCAGCAATAGTCCCTCTCTGAGTTGTTTCACTTCATGATCTGAATACTTCATCCAAATGGTCCGTTAGCCTTTTAAATTCCAGAATATACGGTTCTAATTTGTTTAATCGCCCTTGGTTATTTAACCTGGGAGATTGCATAATCTGGCCCCGCAAATTATTATTTGTTGGAACAAAATTGGAAGCTCCTTGCATCTCTGTAATTGGTAAGTACTCAAAACGATGTTTGCTAATTTTTCTTTAAACCTATTTACAGTAACATGGTTCTGTCACAGTGAGTCAGCTGTAGGTGATAGTGCAGTGGCGTTACATAACAATAAAGCCACTGCATCTTTAGGATGTAAATGTTACAGCATGACTGAAGATCACAGCTATGCTAGTCTCATACCCACAATGATACCTTACCGCAGGTCACACACAAAAAGTGAGCAATTGCAGAGCCATACGTACACTGTGACACTCCTGTAGGTGTTGTTGGCAAAGTATAGGTAGCAAGAGGGGGTCTCCTGAACACCAAGCGTTGTGGTGAGGTTCTCCTCATTGCTCAGAACTCTGCGCACAGCAATGTTCTCATACTGCAGCATATCCAGGGTCACCTAAGAGAGCAACAAGCACTAATCAGAAGCTTTCTTCAAATCAGCTAAGAGAGATTGTGGACAACAGCACAGGAACAACAAACTCTGTACAGGAAACATTAACTACAACCACTAAAATAAACAAGCTGCGGGAGTTTGCAGGCTTGGACTAAACAAGTAAATTACAATAAAACTCAAGCAGTAGGATTTAAATGGGGACAGGAATGGTTCCTGAAGAACAATAATGGGTACTGCACATATACTTGACATGGAAATAACACACCATTTGGAAGCTTTATACTTTAACTCCCCACAGTCATCTGAAAATCATCAGTTTCCCCCCTTGGGATGATACCAGTCAAACAGTTTTGTTTATGTTACAGGAAACTAAAAACATTAAAATGAAAAGAAACATATTTCAAAACGTTTCTTTCGTATCATTTTTAAACCAAGATCCATCCAGCTGTTCGACAGAATGCAAAAGATTTCAAAAAGGTCTTGTGGCCTGATTATGAAGAAGAGCAGAGAAGTTATCGCTTGTGACCTGGCTCATACTTATCCCTGAATTAACTTCATGGAACACAGATCATCCAGTCATTAGCATATTGCAGTTCATAGGAGTTTGTTCAGCACAAATTATTTGTTGTGTTTGCAACATTACACTTCACTTCAGGAGGTTCTTCGTTATCTGTAAAGGTGCTGAGAGACATCTGGTGGTGGTGATGGAAAAGCTCTTCATCAATGCAAGTGTTTCTTCCTAATTGATTTATTTGAGGGTTCTGCAATGCCCTCTTTCCAGCCACAATAGTATACTGGCCTCCACTAAAGTTTCTGTCATTCCCGTTGCTAAGAAGCTTATCACTATGAGTGAGCAAAATGCTACTGGATAAGTCTGCAGCTGGAAAGATCCATCTCCTGTCCCCCGGAAGCTCCGAGTCAGTTGAAAATGATAACTTCAAAAGTGGTTTGTTCAGCCATGGGGCTTCGTGGCCTCTCATCTGTGGCAGATGGAGTTGCTTTATATCAGAGGTCAAGTCCTGCAGTTTAAATATTCGAAGTGAAAAGAGTGTCCAGTGGCCAGAAAAGCAAATACCGTGGTTGCTAACCAATATCCAAGCATAACAGCAACTGACCACAATGCAGATGCTAGCTAACTAAATGGAAATTTCAATAGAGAGAATCTGATCCATAGTTCATCACAAAATGGGTGATGCTGTCCTCTACATTATGCTGCAATGGTCTCTTGACATCTTCCTTCTTTTCCAGAGAATAATCAGCTTCTTTAAGCCCAAGAGTTTCAAATGGACTCGACTATGTAGAAGTTTACAGCACAGGAACAGTGTATTTGACTGAACAGGTAAAGATGGTATTTATGCTTGCTTGGAACAAGTGTCACTTCATTACTTCATCTCACACTCCTTTAATACATCCTTTTGTTCCTTTCTACTTCATCTGCTTATCTAGGCTCCCCTTAAATGCCATCATATACTGTTGCATATTGATCAATTGCATCTCCTAAGAAGTGGGAGGTTTTTAGACCATCCTTGATCTTTAGGATGTGTTCAACATCATTCAGAAGGATAATTATAGGAAGTCAAAGACACAAGAGAAAATCCCAAGCTGGACTTGATAGCCACAATGCCAGGGTCAGCTGCTTCTAGATATTAAAAGCTGTGGAAAGTCTGAGTGTACAGTGAGACAGCGATGAACAGGTCTATGTATTGTAGCAGTTTCTATTAGAGTTTGCATTCACTAGCTGCTAATCTGTATTATTGGTTCTTGAGATCTTTCCGTAGGCAATGCCAGCATTTAACAAGGAAAATATGCTAAATCATTAATAAAATCAAATTTGAGTTCCAGTCGTTATAAGAACAATCTTTCATGGGTAGCTGACTGAAGACAACCACGGCAAATCTTCAATGCCACAAAATAGATCTTGATTCAAATTGTTCTCAATTTCTCTCATTGCCTATCAAGAGGTAGGACCATTGCTCAGTGTTATATCATGATCTAAGGTGGATCTGGAGTTTCAGAAAAAACGAAAAAAAAATGTTTGATGTTGTTGTTACAATTAAACCTTCAATAGCATTCACCATTGAACTGACTCATGAGAAGCACCAAACTGATGCCATGTGCTTCACCAGTGTGACAGATTGGAAGAACATTTAACCAATGTTGCTATCATCCACATGGATACTGTCATGGAAACCACTTTTATAGAATGAAAACTCTTGATTGTAAAACACAAAACCTCAGGAAAAGAGGTGCACACAAAACTCCAAATTTTCATTGGGTTAAATCACCATAGCTGTCATTGAGCCAATTTCTTTTTACATAAATGAAACCATCACCAAATCATCCATATTGCTAACTTTAAAAAAAATGCAACAACAACAAAGGGGAGGGAAGGGAAAGAGGGAAGGTATTAAATTAAAATGGGGTTGGAGGGGAGAATGTATTCTTAGTTATCATGTCAAACACTATCAGTACCAAGGATTAACAGGAGTCACTTAGCAGGGGCCATTTGCGTTCCTTACACAGGTTCACAGCTTCGATCGGCAAAATCCTGAGTGAAATGTTCGCCATGCAAAATTTATGCATAAATGCTTCATGTCTTTATACTGTATTCCCGAGAGCTCTATTTTTACACAAAACCTTAGCACCGTTTACACTAACCTTGCAATCAGAAACTGTATCCAACATAATCTAATTTATTCTCCTAAGCATGCCCCATAGCTCCAATGGAACAGCACAAAAACATCTACTCTGTTGTTTGCTTCCTGGCATTGCCGTCAGGACTATTTTTCAAGAAGTATTTAATTGGCTGTAAAATCGCTTTGGGAAAAGTGCTGTCTGTTTGTACAGGAAATGGAATTTCCTCCCCCTGGTGTGGGATAAGCAATGCGAGAAAGGTGGGAAATACAGATGGGGGAAAAAAAAGAATTTCAATGTTGAGGAATTTTCTTTTGAATTTCCACTCAAGTTTCAAATGACGACCTCAGAAGCATGCCACTGAGAAGCGACGACTTTACTTCCGTGCAATTGCAACTCATTAAAGTCTCAACTCTTTTCTATGTCACTTCTTGTTCTCCTCTGGCTTCCCAACATGTCAAACTGATTGCCAAATGCTTGCCCCAGGCATCAAGCAAATGTTTGTCCTCAACAATGCTCCATGCCCACCATCTTCTTGATCCCTTGGCCACACAATTTGGTGGCAGTTAACCCAAAGTTTCATGAAATCATCAAGCCTGTTCTCGAACCAATTCGTATACCACTCCAGCTCTTCAAAACTTTACTCTGGGATTCAGGGACACCTGCAACCTGTATTCTTTCTTTTGAGTGCAGAGGCATGTACACATCTCAAGCATCTACTTAGGATGTATTTTATGGCTCTTAACTTGCTTTTCTAGCGTTCATTCATTTTGTGCCTACTTGGAAAGCTGCTAGCCTCTACTACTTCACATTTCTTTCTTAGTGCACTCTCACTGACTTCAACAGTCACCAATGGGCTAGCAACCACTGTTGTACCTCTTAGCACACAGGGTCTTTGGTATCCCTTGCTGGCTGCCAACCTCTGTGGTTTGCAATGCTTTTTTCATGCAAAAGAAGAGGCAGATAGCTTGTCACGGTTGGGAGCATTGAACAGCCAAGGGGCAGACATGTCAGTGCATCATGGCACTGGGCTACATCAATATAACACCTGTAGCTTATGCAGCAACACATCAAGTGTTTCATTAATGGTCCATTTGTAAGTCAAAGGGGAGCAGTCATTAGTGGGGTGAAGGGGGATTACAGTCAACAGGGGATATTGCCTGTCCATCAAAGGGGTTCAGCCTATTCCAGGCCAGGATGTTGGCCACGGTCAGCCATTTGCTCCTATCAGAATTCAGGAATCTTTGCAGTCTGGGCATTAAGCCATGGTCAGTCTTGCAGGTCTAGTGCAGCCTGTTCAGCAACAGGGCAGTCGGGATGCTACGGAGATATAAGTCTGGGGAGATGGGCCAATTATGTTCTGCAATGAGTCAAAGGGAGGGATTGAGTATGAAGGAAATGATTGGAAGGGTAATTACTGGTGATGCAGGAGCTGGACAGGTGGTGAGGTGTCCCTTGTGAGTGAGTTAGAGATGGAGAGAGCGGGAAGCTTTAGGCGGTTGAGGAGGAGGAGGGCGGATGTGAACTGTTGAGAGGACACAAAGCAAGCTATAGTGAGAGTTGCAGTCCATGAGACTTGGTGAGGGGCGTGTGCAGTGACAGGATTAGAGGGAGTGTGAAATAGCAAGAGAAGATGGTTGCTCTTACCCTTGTGCTTGTGACAGAAGGATACTGTGAAAGTGTTGGTTGAAGTAGAATGGTATGTAACTCATTTAGAGTCCAAGGCATAGAGTTCAGTTGGTCAGCTTCTGTGCTGTATATTCTGTGCCCTTTACTGCCTTCTATTCTCCAGCAATTTATTTCAGTGCCAAGCACATGTATGGAGTAGACAGATTTGGTAAATTTGATGACAGCCTACAATTGAGAAGCATGTTGCCACCCCCACAGCAACTCAACTGATTTCCTTGCTAACTAGAGTCACTAGAATGGCTCCCCAAATACAGAATAAAATATGAACAAAATACGAGCAAGTGACAGTCCATGCTGCACAGACAGGTCTCCACAACCTCAGCCTCACTCTGTTGTTAAAAAATAAATGCGACCTTCCATTCTTAGAACAAGACAATATTGAGACCATCATAATTCTTCTTTCTTCATTTGTGGTATGGAACTGCGTTGAATTTTGAACTTTGAACAACAGCTTGTTTTAAAAAAAAAGAACAAAAGACTGATTTTGCTATTGGGAACTGGCCTGGAAAGATAATGTAGGTTAATTACTGCTCCAAGGACACTGTAGTCGGTTTGGCACTGAGACATTGTTATTCTCAGGGACTGGCAGATTGGTTCAATGCTGAATTGGTCAATAAATGGTGATGGCCAGCCAACCACAGAAAGTGTTGAAAAAAGAAGAGACAGCAAAGAGCAAACTGCTTCTGGCTGGAGGCAGCTTTACTTTAGAATTGGAGGATTTTTTTTGGTTTTGCTGTCTCTCGTTATTCTCCAGTTATCGACTTGTTCAAAGTTTTGACAAAAGAACCCCAGTCTGTAAGAAATAAGTAAAAGTCTCTTTGTTTGCAGAAGCTACTTGCATTAACTGATGGCTTTGGCATTCAAGGAAGATATAGAGTCCCATGTGCCAGTAATACCGCTTATCAAAGGATTTCATGAAGGCCTGATATTCATTGTCGAAATGGTTGTCAAATTGGCAAATTAAAATCTTGTTATTCTCCTTTTCAAATTTTCCCTTAATTAGGTCTGTCTGTCTGTGAGAGAGTAGGGGGCTTATACTCAAATAAGATCACGGACACTAAATAGATTATGGACACTAATTAGGTTGATTTGTAGTTTGAGTTTTGCTAAAGTTTGATTCTTAGTAATAAATTGCTAATTTTTATTTGTAATGAACTTGATCTGTCATTTTTTAAGTCTGGTTAGGAAAAATTGAGCAATTTTCATTATGCTGCAAATCCAGTGATAGTGAGGCAGATTTGGTTCGGCTTGCTATCTCTGTGTCATAACACGGATAATATATCTGACTCTCAATGGTGCTCCCTAATTCCAGTGCTCTCTTCCTGAACATAAGAAGATAAGCCATAGAACCTGGAAAAGTCATTTGGTCATTCTCAACTGATCTGGAATTCAGCAAGGTCATGGTTCATCTTCTACCATACCTCCATCTTCCTACATTATCCCAGAAACTTTTATTCCCATAGTATCTAAAAGTTGATCTAATGGTACTCACAATCCTGGGGTCGGGGTGGGGGGGGCGGGGGGTGGTGACTGGGTGAGCCTCCCTGTTTAGTAATTATTGCTCACTGTAGCTCAGTCAATGGATACTGGCAGGCCATTCTTATACTGAGCTTCACAGCCAAGTCTAGTCTATGACCTTGGACACTTTCCAAAGGAATCTCAAAGTTGTTTAATTTCTAATCCTCAACTGCCAAACCTTGCTGTCTGAAGAAGTAGAAGTCAGGCAGCAACCTTTTCAGTAGCAGAAAGTAGATCTAATTGTTTTTCTTTTGTTCTCTGCATCTCCAAGTGCTCAGGCCAGGAGTAGCATTCCTACAATGACCTGTAATGCATCAGTGAATTCAATGCAAATGCAGCATTTCTTGATCTATACGGCTCAGCATGAAATCTGTGTCGTCATTCAGAGAGTCTTTATCCCACCTTGTTTTACGAAAAGGATCAGCCAATTATACCCATCGATTTTGATAATCATGGCTGTTGGTGCAAACTAATTTTTGCCTCCTTATCAGATTCTTTATCTCACTGTAAGTATCTCTTCAGATTCCTTACCCCTAACTAAATGCACCTCTTCACATTCCTTATCCTTTCTGCGAGCATCTCTCCAAATCCCATATTCCCAAGTAAATACCTAACTGTTTTATTAACAACTCAAGCTATTCCTTATTGATGACCTTCTGAAACAAAACTGTTCGGTTAAAAGTTAGTTTGAATTTGCTTAGTCAAAATTATAATCTTCTTCCCTTGTACTAGGACAGTTTAGTATCTCCACCCTCAGTTGTAAGTGTGAATTTAAAGGTGTGTTCAGCTCATAATGTCTCTTATCAGAAAGAAGTCTCCTCCTCACGAGAATTAACCTGGTGAACATTCTCTGGATTTTCTCCAAGGATATTTGTGCCTCACTGAAGTACTGAAATCAGGCATGTACGCATGGAGATATAAACCCAAACACAGCAGTGTGCCTTGGAGGAGAATTTATACCCATTGCTGCTCCCATAACGTTTGCTACTTTTGTCCTTATCGCAAGGGAAATGCTGTCAAAATGACCTTGGTCAGTAGCTGAACTATCCTGCTCATTATGTAGCGTCTTTCTTAAAAGAAATGATTCCAGAGTTCTAAGTCTAATATTCTTATTGCAATGAGAAGTCAAAGTTACTGGTCACATGATCTGGAAGATGCAGAATTGAAGACTATATTCTAATTGTTGCACAACACTTGGTAGCTGGTTACTGAGTTGCTTTAAAAAAAACAACCACAGGCTTTTGCCTACCTTTTCTGATATAATAATGGGCAGAGACACCCAAGAGAAGATTAACAGGCAGTTCCAACAGAGATTCAGCGCTATGTGTCTTAAAGACAGATCAGAACCCTGAAGTACCGTAGACATTTTTAACTTTTAAATCTATATGCGCTATTTGAATAGAAGACTGTCCCATCTTAGGAATGACTGCAGATGTAAATTTATCGGCCATTTGACAAAGTCCTCTGTAGAACACATGAAACGTGACATTGGTAAAGGGTCCAGGAAGATTCAAAGAGGAAGAGAAACACAGCAGGAAGAAATAACAAGGGGACTGACCACATGCACTCATCCCACCGCCAAAAAGAAGACACCTCTTCCACAAAGTGTGTGCTTTGGCCTTCCAGGAAAATGCAAACAAAGGGATTAAAAATCAACTTCAACACATGTCTTCACGTTAGTGACCTGACATTCTAATAAGTGGACTGGTGTGCTGCGAGGGTCATAGATCTGAGAATAGCCATTTAAACACTACGTGTAAAGTGAAGGAAGACTCTCTCTTGCTCTCAGTGCTGCCTGTCAGTCAATCCTGAAAGGAATCAGGACAACTGTATTTTCGTCACCATATAAAGGCAAGAATCTCTAAACTGATCAATAAACTACCAAGGTCAATGCTACATGTGACATCCACTGCAAAGGCTGCAATGTTCAATTATTGACTCTGCAGAAACAATGCTGATTGCTCCTTTTTTTAAATACTTGTTCTTATCTCCTTATTTGTTTGATGTCTGTTGCATTTCTTCTTGTGTTTAGTAATTAATAAATTCACTCTCCATTAACTCAAGAAAGCTGGCTTAAATGATCTCCTTTTAAAACAGAACTTCATATGGGTCCGAAAGAAAAGGATGAACAAGAGAAGGGATCTTTTCAAATTTAATCCTATTGTGACCAGGCAAGGGGATGGTGAATAACCTAACAGAGCAAGTTTACCCCTCCTCACCTAGAAATTAATAGACTGAGCAATTCCATCTGAAATTGTAACAAATTGGGGAACCTTACCTGAGGACTGGTTGAAATGAACATCTGCCCAGATGCGACAACAGGGACGCCTGAAATTTAAAAGCACATATCTTACCTCTCGACCCAGGTAGGAGCTCTCTTCTTCAACAATCAATGCCAAGTACCGAACCTTGTTTGCAGTAAAGAAATTCTGGACCTCTGCCATGCTACAATTGAAGAAAGGACAATCATACACATACATACCACTGCAATGTGAAAAACAAGCTAAAAAGGTTTTCAGCTTTATTAAAAATAGAAAAGTACTAAGTCAATCTGCTACAAATCTGAAAACATAATTGAAGATGATCACAGAATAACTCTGCAGATGAACAAATGATCCATGATGAATACTCCAGCTCTTTTAGAGAACTTTCCAATTTGTGCCACTCTCCCCTTTCTTCCATGTACCACTTTAATCTTTCCCTTTTCATGTATATATCCATTTATTTGGATTTAAAATTTTGTGCATTTAAAGAAGTCAGCTTTCCCATTATTTATCTAAAACTTGTTGGTCGGAGCGGACCCATTCATGTGACAAAAAAAATGGAAACAGTGAGGTTTTGTGCACCAATTCTTGCTCATGTCCCTCAACAGCAGACTCTATAGATGTTGAGATATGGCTGGTCAAAGCATGGGTTAGGGAAACAAACCAGAGAGACATTGGTACAAGTACAGGTAGTAGCCTTGCAAATTTAGCTGGATTTAACTATCCGTCTTCATGGTGACTGAGACCACTGACTTATAGGTAAGTTTGGAATGTCTGGTCAGCATGGACGAGTTGCACAGAAGGGTCTGTTTCCATGTTGTATGACTCGGTGACTCCCACCTTCCTAACATCACCCATTTCTACTCTCATTATTCTCAGCAGCTAACAGGTACTTTTTTACCTCCAGAGTCAACTTCTTCAATGTTCACAGGGCCAGCCTCCCACCGTGCACTCTCTGTAAATTACAGATAACCTAAAACTCAATTTCCCATATTCTCTCTCACACAATTCACCCACCTTCACTGTGCAGGCTGTGTCTCCATTTTAAAATGTTCACCCTTTCTTTCAAATCACTCCATAGCTTCGTCTCTCACCACCTCTGTCACGTTCTCTGGCCCCACAATCCTCCAAGATATCTGTGAATCCTGGCATCTTGAGTATCCGTGATCTGAATCGTCTCGCCACCCCTTGCTGTGCTTTCAGTTACCTTGGCCACAAGCTTTGGAGTTCCCTCCCTAAACCAATTCACTGTCATGTTCCTCCATCAGGACGCTTCTTAAAACTGACCTCTTTGCAAAAGCTCTTGGTTGCCTTTCCTAAGAGATATCCTTATGAGGCACCTGTGAAGCACCTTGAGACATTTTACTATGTCAGAGATTCTTTACAAATACAAGTTATCGCTGTTGTCAGCTTCAGTGTGTGTCAGGACTCCCAAAGCAGGCACAGGACACATTAAATGTAGTGTGCTCTGCTCTCCATGATCTGCTTTAACCCAAGCATCGATCACCTTCGAATTTTAGAAACATTCCTTTGCCATTCCTATTTCTAGCTCGAGTCAGCCACGAGATCTCTTCAAGTGGGAATCCTAGAGTCAGGTTAGTGCTGTATATTCACATAGAATGCGATGGTAGATTGTCCAAGTCCATTCAATGTAGGATCTTCAGAAGGGGCAGACAGAGAACACAAATGACTGAGGAGAAAGACCTCTGTATATTCCTGGTTGTTTGAATGCAACAATCTCAGCCTTCTTCACTGCCACCAGCTTGAGTTCTTTCATTGGCAAAGGGCCGAGGTAGAATTTTAGGGTCATCCAATTGACAGATGGCAGAACAGTAACTCTACACCACTCCCATTCAGTACGACTGTCAAATCTTGCCTGAGCAAGAAGACATATCCCCTGTCTGAGACTTCTGTGACCTTTGATCCTCATGGGACGACCCCCATTTATTAAAACATCAACCTCTGCTTCCGTCTCCCGCTATCCCATTTAACACCTTGAAAGCCCAGACACATGTAGGCCCCTTTCAGAATTTCACAGCTGACCTTTGCCCTTTCAGCTAATACATCAGCAAGACAATTACAGATTGAAACTCATTTCCCTCATGACTTTTATAAATTCGTAACTGTTTCAAATAATTCTGTATATAGGATCCATCCTCACTTTTAGCTTTTAATATTTCCTGAGCTGAGGGGCAGGAGATTAAGTCACTGAACAGCTGTATTAGCCGAAGTGGATACTGAAGGGCCCTGCACTTTACTCTTAACCCCTTCAAGGTTTGAGATGTTTGATGCTGACTTGCTTAAACATGTTCACATTTCCATCTTTGATGCCAATGTCCCTAATACAAATTTAATTACTTCTCATCATAGTCACACCCTTTTGTCTGCCCTAACCCCCTTCATTTTATCAAGTAGAAAAGACACTGACATTTGAGTGTATCTAGCACAGAGCCAGATGATTCGCAAGTAACCAGATCTGCGCTCCACTCTACAAGGATTCACTTATCTCTGTCAAGTTAACTGGTACACTGCAATCATGAAAAGCTAAGGACCTAACTTCCTCTCTACATGATCAAGAATCTCCTTAAACCCCTCTCCTCCAGCCCCTTCACCCACATCATTAGCAGCAATTGTGAGAGGAGCTCACAGAATTCTTGATCTTCAAGACAGACACTGTTGGTTTAGGTGGTGGTGCTGCTTCCTCCAATCCCTTTGTACCCGAGTAAACCCACATCTAGCCAATCACAACCTGAGAATCCTTTGTAATGGCTCCTCACATGGTCATCTTTGGAGTCGGGTGAACAAACTATCCATGGCCTCAATTCTTTGATTACCTCTCTGTCCTTCGCAAGACTGTCCGCAGACAGAGTTCGGCTTGCCATGTAAGTTCGACATCTCTTGACCTTTCTATTGCATTTGTGCAATCAGACTGTTTGACCAACATCTTCCCCTCAATGAACCACAATTTCCACCAGTTAAACAACTGAGTGTTTGACCTCCACCTTAAACTCTGTGACCTTGCCAACAACTTCCTCTCTCTCTTCAGGCACTCTCTCAAACTAACCTAGACTGTGGTCAGATTTGAGCCCAAGCTAAGGTTCAGATCACGTACGCTTCCTGTTCTAAAGTTATATTGCCCAACTTTAACCCTGCCTCAATGTGTCGGCTAAACAAGGCTTGCATTTCTCAAACGGGAAGAGGAAGCAGATTTAATCTCCATTGAAAAAGGTAACAACGTGCTTTGACTTTGTGGAAAGAGACAAGGATTGGGACTAATTGTTAGCTATCTCAGACAGCCAGTATTAACATGATGGGTTCCATGGCCTCCTTTTATGCTGCACGATTCTGTGATTCTACAAAGGCATCTTGTTGCCCACTGTTGTCCCGAGACTGAGAGGTGAAGTACAGATGACATGACAAAGAAATGTTCCACAGTTTCCAGCTCTGATTGTTACATTCTGTTGGAAATGCATGGACAGGACTACAAGACCCTGCAGTGACAGACTAAACTTACACCACTATTAATGGTCTCAAAGTAATGGGAGTGAAGGGGGAGAAAGTAACCAAAAATCACATCCAAATGTAACAATGTGGGGATTTCTGAATTTATTATTGGGGTCAACATAACAGGGTACAAAGGGATTCAGATCCTGGTTGACAAGCATGGATACAATGAGTGAAATGGCCTTCTCCTGTGCTGTACACACCATGAGAAAGCACCCTGTCCATTTACTGGCTGCGTGCATAGACTGGGGAACTATCGTTAGCACTCACTCAAAATCGGTGTACTGAACGTAGAATTGGTGTGGTGAAAGGACATGGTGGGGTGGAGGCAGATGACTGTTGGCGTGACCCCACCATCCTACCATTGGATGATGCTATACCAGTGTCTCAATAAGCCGTATCCCGAAATCAACGGGGACAACAAAAGGATCTGTCTGGGAGAAGACAATGAAAAATGCTTCCTCTTAATAAATTGCAGGTCATAAGCCTGCCATAGTCTACAGGACCTTTACTAAAAGCCTTCATTTACTTTCTCTGTGGTGACAGATGACTTAACTCTTGCAGGACTGAGACGTATCAGAACAACTGTGACATCGGAAGGGATAAAATAACCAAAAACAGTACTCAATAATACAACATGCGTTGATGAGAACAATATTTTTGCAAAGTGAGAATGGAATAGCTTATGAAAGAAGCTTTTCAATCCATCTTCTTAACTACCTGCCAAATGTCACAGTGGAATAGCCCTGAATCAGCAGGTGCCATTGTGCAGAGTCTTTTTAATTCTACAACTGAATGCATTCCTCTTTCACACTCACGTGATGCTTATAAACTTCACAGCTCACAAAGGATTAAATTCAATTGGTGTTTCTTCAGACTATGTTCACCCACAACCTTGCAGCAATTATGGTATTGTTTAAGGAGACAAAAAGCAAATAATGCAGTGGAAACTGAAATAAATATTTTAAAAAATCACCATGCTGCGTATTCCTTTGTTTGTAAGCGGATACTGCCTGAAGCCCCAGTGTTTGCCATGCAAAGTTTAGAGAGTCAGAATTATCTGCTATTGACCAGCAGGGGTTGCTGTGGACTAAGGCAATTACTGGAGATGGTATGCTTAAAACGTCTGTAAATGATCTTTCAATGACAACTTGAATTTATATGGCACCATTAACACAGCAAAATCAAGACTTGGACATGAAATCATTAAAAATTTAAAAAATAGAATCATTACACTCGCAATTAATCAGTAAAAATAATAATATTAGCTGTTTAAAAGGAACAGAAAAAAATGTTAATAGTCCTATGTAATACCTATCACTGTATTATCAAACTTAGCTTTCTGTGTTAATCTTGATGACTTTTGCTGATGTCTTTAAGGGATGGTTTGGCATCATTGGAAGCGTAGCTTCACCTCCCTAGTGGTGTGTCAAGGCTTTGACAGCAATCTGCAATGCGAGGCATCTGAGAGCAGCCACACTCAAACGTGAGGCCACAAAGCACATGGAAAGTTTTCTGAAGAAGGGTCCAGACCTGAAACGTCAGCTTTCCTGCTCCTCTGATGCTGCTTGGCCTGCTATGTTCATCCAGCTCTACACCTTGTTATCTCAGATTCTCCAGCACCTGCAGTTCCTACTATCTCTGGAAAGTTAAAATGTGTATTTTTAAAAATCTGGTTACCATCAGACGGATCTGTTCCAACAGTGTTTGGAATTTCCGAGGTTAAAGAATGGGAGGTCAGCCAGGAGTGAGTTGAAATAGAAGGATCTGAGGATAGTAAACTTATGACTGAAGAATTCAGCTGTAGATGAGCTGAGGCAGGGCTGACATTGGGTCATTCTAATAGGATACATGAAAACAGACCCATTGATGGAGTGGATGCATGGGGTGGAACTCATCTGGGGATCATATGTGACACGAGATTTTGAGCATTGCCAGGTTGGTAGTTCAGGAACACAGTTTGTGAAGGGATCACCAACAAAAGTTTTGGGAAGACCGAAACCAATCTGCAGGACATTTCTGCACATCCAGAACTGAGTGTCAGACAAGCAAACTGACAATTTTTAGATTGCGAGGGAGGTAGGGAGATGGAGCTGGGTGCTGTCAGTGTTCTGCGTTTTTGGATAACATCGCTGAGGGATAGCATGTTGATAAGAGGTAGGAATGGGCCAAGGATAGAGCTATAGGAGAAACCAATGGCAACAACACAGGGAAAGCGACAGAAATCTTTGCTTCTGACTCATCAATTACCTGCTTTCTATCCTGCTGCAATCACAATTTTGCTATTGTGATAGTCATCCAAAAGTCCGTGTCTCAAACCTGCACCAAATCTAATTCACTCATTATCCCTGAGCTCACTGATGCACAGAGGCTCCCAGTTAAGCAATACCTCAGTTTTGAGATTCGGAAATTGCTTGAAATCCTGCCCTGTGCTCACCCCTCCCTATCTCTGTAATCTCCATCAGCCCTACAACCCTCCAAGATAACTGTGCTCTTCCAGTTCTGGCCTCTTGTGCATCTGTGATTTAAATTACAACACCCACAACTCTGCTTTGAAAAGCATAGTAACACATGCCAAGGAGTGCTTCACAGGATTATAATCTGATAACAATGGACATTGAACCAACGGAGGATGTAATAAAACAGTTAACCAATATATTGGTCAAACAAAGCTGGAGAATGGGGAAGGAATGGCAGATAGATTTAAAGAGGGAGTTTCAGAGCCCGGCCTTGAACAGTTGAAGGGACATTCACAAAATGAGGAGTGTTAGAGTAACAAGGGGTGGACAAGTCTGGAGTCGGACAAGATGAAAGTTCTTGAAGATTGTAAAGATTGCAAAGGGAGAGAGGCCATGCGTTTCAGACTGCCTTCCTAGCTCACATTATCCAGGCATATATCTGTCCTTCAATTCCCTCAACAATCCTCACGTTTTCCTCAGGACCAAATCCAGACGATGCTTTTACTGGGGCTTGGCTTGCTACTAAAAATAGTAAAAGCCCGAAGTACAGTTTAAGAGCAGTTCTGTTCAGATAAGTAAAGGCCAGAGGTGGGTTTTCAACTTGCTGCGAAATGTATATTCAGCATTCTGATTGACCTCTTCTGTATAGTTCCTGATTCTCAGTTTCAAGTTGAAAGTCTACACGTGGGGAAATTCTTTGTCCAAACTCAATGTGAAAGGATACATGGGGCTCTCAGAGAGAGGATTTACAGAGAACTGGTCAACTTGTGATGTGGTGTAAGACTGAATAAGCTTAATGAGCTCAGCATTCTTAGCATCAATAAGCAGCTAACAACTATGCATTGATCAGGGATTCTTTATAATCAGGACAGCGTGGGATGAGTATGTGGTACAAAAGACAATAAGGAGTAGGAGCAGAAGCAGGTTATTCTCCCCACTCCAACTGCACTACTATACAATGCATGGCAGATCTGATACTCCACTGTCCTGTCTTTTCACCATAACCCTTGATTCCTTTACTGATTAAATATCAGTCTATCTCAGCCTTGAATAGACTTAACAACATAGCCTTGATAACTCTCTGTGGTAAAAAATGTCACAGATTCACTACCCTTAGAGAAGAGATTCCTTCAATTTGCATAACAGATTGCAATTCTGCATCAGTATTGGAATGGATAGATGTCTTTGTACTGCACTCACTTGTCTTGAAGGTACTGGACTCTATTCTCCTCAAATGGCAAAGGCCAATGTTGTTTATCTCTCATTTAAATGGGTGACCCCTTTCTCTGAGATACTGTCCTTTTTTCCCAGTCTCTCCCTCAAGGGGATATAACCTTTTGCATCTGACCAATCAAGGCCCTTAAGAACCTTGTATATTTCAATAAGATCACCTCTCATTCTTCTAACCTTCAGTGAGTACGGGCCCTACTCAACCTCTCCTCATAAGACTCTCTCTCCATTCCGGAGATCAGCTCGGTGAACCTTCTCCAGACTGCCTCCAATGCCAATATATCTTTGCTTAGCTAAGGAGATCTTCTTAGATGATTGGACGTTATGGGAAAAGATGCACAAATTCATCACAAACTGAGATTTCTAGGCTTCTTTCCATCTTCCCTGCAATTCCACATTTGGATGGAGATACCACTGTCAGGGAGAGCACTCTAACTCCTGCTTCCAAGTTTTCTGGTTGAGTGTCAGATACAGCTCAATCTCTACAATTACTAACACATTAGAAGTGAGCTCATGCAAGTTTAATTCAAGCGGATGCTTACCTGGCTGGTTCCAATGGGGGACAGTCTGGGGGCCACTCAGTCTCTCCATGTTGCTCCAGAAGGTCAACGATATGATGGCGTAGGTATACTAAAGTGGACCTGGAATCTGAACAAAGTCAAACACATATTGGATTCAGTTAAGTGCTAGCAACCAGGGTGGGATAATAACAGGAGCATCTGAAGGGAAAGTTAGATTTTGGGTGTTATATGGCTGTAGGCAATCCCTGTAAGATAGCTATGAAGATATATAATTCAGGAGGATCCCCTCAATTTGCATCTGTTACTATTCACAAGTACTACAGAGCCAGGCCTGGCTTTATTTACCAGTTCACTAACACTGGTAAATTGTACACACCAGAACTGTGATGCTCCAGTTCACTAAAAATGGGTTGAATTAATGTTTCAGATGTGACTGATTTATTCGAAAGGCTCTCTGACAGTCCCAGGTAACATGGAACAACACTGAGGATTTGGAATCATAAATTATTCCGATTTAAGTAACAGACACTGGATATATGATTACAAACCCCGGACATGAGGTTACAGATCCCAGGAGGATGATTACAGACCACTGGATGACCAGTACAGACTGCAAAAGGGCAAACAGAGACCTCGGGATTACAGCTACAGGTCCCAAGTAGTCAGCACCGTTTCCTGGACACACAATTCCAGGCCCTGGGACCCCGCCTCCGAACTCCCTGTCTAAGACATGAATTTTCCTATCACTTCATTTGATTGTTTCACTGAAATGAGAAAGAATGAAAAGACCAATTCACAGTCCAGGTGAATGTCATCTTGTGCAATGTTACAGTAAGACTCAATTTGCATAACAGATTGCAATTCTGCATCAGTATTGGAATGGATAGATGTCTTTGTACTGCACTCACTTGTCTTGAAGGTACTGGACTCTATTCTCCTCAAATGGCAAAGGCCAATGTTGTTTATCTCTCATTTATTGGGCTACAGGTTGTGGGCTCTAAGCTTGGCTTTCAGATGGTCCTTATACCTAACATTCTGATCATTCATGGTCTACTGCATTCTCATGGCACGTTCTCCAGAGGACATTCAGTTGCTTGTGATCACACTCTCCTAGCCCCATAACACTTTGGCCTTACAATAAGCTTGAAGAAGACAGAAATTTTGTATCAACCTGGCCCTGGCAGCACAGTGCCTCAGTGGTTAGCACTGCTGCCTCACGGCGCCAGGGACCTGGGTTTGATTCTACCCTCAGGCAACTGTCTGTGCGCAGTTTGCACATTCTCCCTGTGTCTGGGTGGGGTTCCTCCAGGTGCTCCAGTTTCCTCCCACAGTCCAAAGATGTGCAGGTTAGGTGGATTGGCCATGCTAAACTGCCCGTAGTGTTCAGGGATGTGTAGATTAGGGGATGGGTCTGGGTGGGATGCTCTGAGGGTCGGTGTGGACTTGTTGGGCCAAAGGGCCTGTTTCCACACTGTAGGGATTCTATGATTTAAAATATTCTAAGGTCTTACGGTCACAATTAACCACGCATCCCTCCTTTCCGTCCAAATGTTTTTCAACTTGGGAGTATCCTCACCAAGAATACCACGCTGGATGATGAGAAATCAGCCATCATTGGGCCAGAGCAAGTTTAGCATTTGGCAGAATCACAGACAGACTTTGGAAAGTCTCAGACAAAGATCAAAGTTTGAGGTTCTTCATAGATGCGCAACTTAAACAATCTACCAGCCACTACAGAATTCCATCCTCACTGTCTGTGATTTACTTGCACCATCAAGGGGCAGAACAAATTTGCACCCGTTGCCTGCTCTGCACAAATACCCCTCACCACCAGTGCCCCATGTACAATAACTTTACTGGTTCTTTTCTAAAAGGTCCTTTGATACTTATGTAACTCTTTAAAGTGTCCAATCACCATCTGTACTCTGGTGATCTGGTTTGCGATAGCCCCATGATGCCTCCATTCCCTGATACTCAGGTGCTTTCTGAGCAGGGCTCTCTATATAGCTGGCAGAGACATTTCCCTCTCTCCCTGGCCCACAGCCATGGAGACTGAGTATTTCAGCTGAAATTGAATATGTGAACGCTGCGCAGGCACGGAATTTAGCCCCTCTCCAGTGTGGGACCAAACCATGCACAAGGGACATTAACCTTCAGAGCCAACATATTTCCACCGATGTTCAATGTCTTCCCTAATTCATTCTCAAATCAGACATGGTCCATTCAGTAGGTGATGTCAAGTTCCAATGAAGCCTCAAAGTTTTACACTTCACTGAAAGAAGCCCACTTGGGCTCTTTTCTGGCTCGGTAGGGAATTCCAAACCACTGTTCTCTTTGATATTTCAGAGCAGATTTTTTTTCAAATGCAGTGTGCCAGGTGATGATCATTTGGAGATGTCCTCGAATCTTCACCAATTGAAGATTAAGCTCTGGGGCACAGCTGCGATCAAACTCAAAAGAAAGATCATAGGACCTCAAAAATTTTCTTGGAACAACTTCTTTTAAGGTTATATTATTATTAGAGCTGGAAGGGGTTGATGAGGAGGAAAAGTGCTATTGTGTCAAAGTCCACATTAATTCAAAGAATCTGATCACTTTACAATGGACATAGGCAGATTGGAATTTGGACACATGGCAAGAGTCTAGGGACAGGAGTTATGACTAATCTAAACTGGGCAGCATGGGCAAGTTGGGCTGAAGGGCCTGTTTCCATGCTGTAGACCTCTATGACCGTACGTGCAGAAACCTTCAGAAATCTACCCAGGGATGGGAATCCAGGTGAGCAGGCTTGCATTTGGTTAAAGTTGACTAAAAAGTGAAGCCCAATTATGGTCAGCTTCTAAGGTCTCCTTCCTTCAACTTTCACACCAAGAGATAGTAACCATGCAGGTTATAAAGTGGAATCTGAAGTGCCTCTATCTGCACTGGGATCTCTACATACCTCTAGTGGTTGCTATCTGCCACTGGAAAATATCCACACTCACTCTCGCTCAGACGCAAGAGTGATGAAAATAAAAATGACCTTAAATGGTGCTGAGAAGAGCTGCGGCAGGAGCTCTCTCTATTAAAGCAGAACTTGGCAGCACATTCCCTTTTGCGTTTAAACAGGAAATTGCTTCATTCTTTGTCCTTCAGTTGGACATGGCTGAACAAGGTGAAACAGGGTGACAACTTTACCTTGGCTTCAGCCTTAATAGGAATGGGCTAGTACTATTGCGACTGGGTGTGTGTGTGTGCAATGCCAGGGCAGACAAGCACCTTGCAGGTTCCCAACTGCTTCCTGCATCAATCTGCAGACACTGGAGATCTCTGGCACAGCAGGATTAGTTCTGGCTTCGCACCACATTGTGCCAGCATTCCACTGACTCAAACGACTGACATGTCTCAACAATAAACCTGACAGGATTTTCCTTCGTTAGAAAGTTAAGCCAATCCCCTCTCTGTGTATATAAACTTGTAAAAACTTGCAATTCTTGCATGCTCCATGTTAGAATCAGTGAGAAGAAATTCAGAATGTAGACTAATTGCTAACACAAAAGGAATCCGACCTTGAACAGGAAGCAAACTGTCAACTTAATCCTTCACTCATAAATCAGGCAAATTCCTGAAGGGAGCCTCCTTGGAGCATGGCACTGTGTTAAACATGCTCTCAAGACCCTCTAGTGTGTTTGGTCTAGAAAGGAGGGAGGAAGGAAGGTAACACACCTTCATGATTGACATTCAGTGATCTCTGGTATAAAGAATCAATAAGTGCAAACAAGGGATTGTCAGGTTCCTCTCCAGGTTAAGTACCCGAACCACCCTTTCATACATGGAGATCTGGCACGTTCAGAAACTCTCCTGCAAAGGGTGGGGTATCTGGGTTCTCAAGGAGTGAATATCTTCAGCAAAGAGGCCAACTGGTTTCCAAAGTCTCTTTCACGTCTTTCTCAAACTCCCACCCCGCCCTGGGATTCTACAGAGAGGCGGTTCACTACGTACAAGCCGAACCCGCTTCCAGGAGCTCATCCAATGTCACTGACTGTTTGACTGTGTGGAGTTTCATAACCACTCAGGGCTGACCTCATTTAACATCTCAATATCTGCATCCATTTCCAGCTAATATCATTGCATAGAAAACAGAAGGAAGCAGCTTTGTGGGCAGCCAAAGTATACATTACTACGCTATCAGCCAACTTGGTAAATAAAGGGCCTGATGTCCTGTATAGTTGAGCTAATCACTGGATAAACTGCTGGGAGTCGGATAATCGACATCTTAAAATTCGTTGTTTTCAGAAGATTGCACAGATGGTAGCATGAGTCAATACCATGTTGCAAATAAACTGATAGAACACTTCAATCTAACCAACACTCCTCCTCCTCCTTTTGATGGCTCCACTCCCAACCTGTCTTCCTCAGGAATCTGAGCAGCACATGTCTGTTTGGAAGATCCAGGTTCAGTGAAAATGTGAATACTAGTTATCTGGTGAGTCATTCTCTGTCACTTTTGACAGATCGCAAGAAGAAAATTGGTTATTTGGTCACTGATCCACAAATCAAGATCAATTCCCAACCTGATACTTCTCAAACACTCCATCACAGACTCATTAACCTTCAGTTCTGAAGAATGGTCACTGGACCCAAAACATTAGCTCTAATTTCTCTCCGGAGATGCTGGCAGACCTGCTGAGTCTTTCCAGCAATTTCTGTTTTTGTTTCTGATTTCAAGCATCCCTAGTTCTTTTGGTTTTTCATTATCCTTTCCTATCAGATTAATAAGATGTCGGTTAATACATTTCTAAAGACTCCGCTCCAGTCTGACTATTCTCCTGACATGCTGCATCAGTCACCTCATCCCCTGCCCCATTTTATTTAATGAAAGACTTATCAGAGGTTCCCCATGAATCTCATTCTTTTCCAATTTGGATAAATGTGAGGTATTGCATTTTGGTACAACAAACACAGGTAGGGCTTATACAATTAATGGTAGGACCTTGGGTAGTGTTGTAGAACAGAGGCACCTAGGGGTGCAGGTACATAATTCTTTAAAGTTTGTGTCACATGTAGTCAGGATTGTTAAGAAGGTGTTTGGCATGCTTACCTTCATTGCTCAGTCCTTTGAGCATAGGAGTTGGGACATTAT